AAAGAAAGAAAGAAAGAAAGAAAGAAAGAAAGAAAGAAAGAAAGAAAAATTATCTGTATGTTTAAGACAATGCTTTCTCAGCCTTGGTGACTTGTTTTCCTTCCTTAAAAGGCAGTCACTCCCATTATTTTTAAACTATGGATTTAATAATCCAGTTTTGAATGAAGCTTAAACTGAGCTAACATTTGTGAATTAGTCAAAGCTGGTTAATTAAAGAAATGCTTCCCTGAAAATATATATTATGCACAGGTAGGCTATTTTGGCCTTGCCAAATTTATTAAGAAATTTCTTGCATAAATTAAACTCATTATCAGAAATACTTAGTGAGTTAGCCTTTAAAATTCCATTAAATGTTTTTGAACAACTTTAATTAAAATCTTCTGAATTCCTAGTGTGTTTCTCTATCAATTTTAAGGAGAAAATACTTTAGATTAAACCCTCAGGATTACAAGCCTATGACACCATTTATAATCACAGGGCTTGAGCTATCTGTCCCTGTTTTAAAGTCATCTCATCTTTAGTACAGTGTTTTAAGCTGACAAAAAATGAAAATGGTTCCAACCTGGAAAATGATATTTCATGGAAATGGTGACTTATTCTTCTCTCCAGTAGCGTTAATCAGATTTCATTTATTTTTATAGCATGCCAGGCATTAGCATTACCCTCTAGACACAGGCCCCTTTCTATTTGTCCTTGGATAAGTTATCTGCTGTATTAGGATAACTTTCTTCCTCAAGATAAATGTTTCCCGATAAAACAATATTATTAACCTGTAGCAATTGCCATGTGAAATAAATGCAGTTGTCAAATCGGCTTGGAAGTAAGGAAGAATGGTAGCAGATTAAAAAACTGTGGTGGTGTTCTCTGCTTTTCTCAGATGCATTTAATCTTACTAACGATCAGATATGATTGAATGGCAGAGAAGACACCTGCAAGTAGAAGCCACTGACAAAAGATACACGAGCATCTCCCACGGATTTTGTTGTGTTTGGGGTGCCAGTAACACTGTTTTCCCTCTCTTCAATAATCCTGTTCACGTAATTTCATCAACTGAGAGAGAGGGCTTAACTCAACTACTTAATTGTTTCTTCCCTACAGAAAACAAGGTGCAAGCTTTTTAACACTTTTAATGTTTTGAAATTAAATGGATTGTTTCAGTAAAGACAAGAAGTCATCTCTAAGTGTCTCTAAGAGAGAGATAGCTCCCCAGTTTGCACTCTTAATGACTTATAGGCTACCTATTCAAAGAGCATCTACTAAGTCATAGAGGCACACCATAGCCCAGGACCAAAACTGAACCACTGACAGTGCTGACAGCGTAAGCAAGTAGGCTGAAGGCACCTTGATGAACAAAATAAAGGAATGTTTGTGTGGTGAAACGACATAGATTTTGCCCCTAGTCATGCAGCTGGTAAACGGATTCCAGTTCTTCAGCTCTTTGGTTTGCTTCTGTGCTTGTCTGTGTTTCTGCCTTAGCAGCCTGGGAACTTCAAAGAGGAATTGAAACTTTGATTTTTGGCTTTCTTCTGCTTCAGCTGTCCATGCCATGACCACAAGAACAACGCATACAATATATTGATTAAGTGCAGGATTAAATAAGCTATCAAAACAGGGAATGATGGCCAGACTTCACTTTGGGGTCATATTTATGATCTTTCTGGCAGCTCAGCAAACTGTACTACCATAAAACAAGTGCAGTCACCTGGGATCCAGGGGCAGATACAGATCATGAGAGAGTGATGCTCCCTCTGGATGAGAGAGCTCTTTCTGTCATTCAGAGCACAGCGGAGACATGACAAATAACTAGCTAGCATGCCCTACTTATATAAGTAGTCTTACCTTACTTGATTAGGAAGGCAATAACTTCAAAGGAGAAGAGGGTGGGGCTGGAAAAGAAGAAAAGCCAAGTTTGTGAAGGCATAAGCATAGTGATCTGACAACACAGTGTTGCATAACCTGAAAACATGTCAGTAACTTGGATGCCTTTTTAATTAATTTGATGCAACATAGATTATCAAAGGTACAAACATCTGTCTAAAGCTACTGCGTTCAGTGTTAATATGGGACCACTTTAATGTTAATAAATGGAATAATAGTAACTTTGTGGTTGTCTGAAATGATTTCATCTTGCTAGGGAACAGACATGCCCTGTAAATAAAGGACTTTAAGTGTAAATCTCATATGGGGCTAAATGTGGGAAATGGGAAAATGGCTATTTTCTTTTTCTTGGAGATTGATGACATGAACACATTTGGCAGTTGATTCTTCCTTGTGAAACTATGGAATACTTACCCTTTAATTGGCTGTAGAAATTTGTACCTATGAGTCTGTTGCATATCATGATCTTGTCACATTTGATACATCATCTTTTGTGTGTGCTTTCACTTAAAAGTTCAAGAAACTTAACTGAGTTACCCATCTCAATATCAATATGAATATTTCCTAAGCCTCCTGTTGAAAAGCTCCTCTCCATATAGAGTTATGGCTTTGGACACAGGAAAAAAGGCTGGGAGTCCCTTTGTAATCATCTAAATGTTTCGTAGAGCTTAAAATAAAACATACAGTTTTACCTTTAGCTTTACCTACCTAGGAAATTTCTCTATTGCCTAGAAGGACTTGGTCACATTATATATTAAAATATAGAAGAACAAATATAAGGAATAGATTCATTCCTATGGATGAAGTGAATAGTCCAATTGACACTGGGTGCACAGGACCCATTCTCCCTTGAGGAGGTCATAGTTACAATCCAGGCCATACTTGTACTTCTTAACTTTTATATGCTATTTTAAACAAGGCCACAGCTCTGGCTTATAGGTTTATTAGTCAAGAATAGTGGAACCGAGGGAAAAGACAAGTGTTTCCAACCATTGGTACACATGTTAATGATGAATTATATAGTGAAAAGGAAAACCAGATAACAATAAAATCAGCTAAGCTAACTAGCAGGAACCTCATGTCACTGCTTAGCGAAGAATAGACATCATGGTTTCATTATGATGTCTTAATTTTTCTTTTTATATTTTGGCAATGATGCTTTTTAAAATATAATTTTCAAGTCTTATTTTTAACCATGTAAGCTATCAAATTTCCATTACACATGGTAATATTCTTTCATCTAAATGTGATTTTATGTCATTTTGAACTAAGTGACAATGCAAATATGTCAAATGCTAGTTACATGTATGTGTGTATGAATAATCCTTTGTGTCTCATTAGAAGTTCTGGTTTCAGGAGACTGGTTTCTGACCTAAACTTTTGGATTAAGGAATATATGCAATATCTTTAAAAATGATGAATTCTTGCTTTAAGCAACATGTACTGAGGAAGTAAGTGTTCATAAAGTTGTAAATCATCTAGAAAAATCATCTGACAGATTTCTTTCTCCCCTCTCTCCCTTCCTTCTTCCCTCCTCTCTGTCTCTCTTTCTTTCCCTCTCCCTCTCTCTCTCTCTCTCTCTCTCTCTCTCTCTCTCTCTCTCTCTCTCTCTCATTGGCTGGATTATTTCACCAATGACTGTCTGGCATAGACTCTTCTGACAAAATTACTTTGATTTGTCTCTGAAACAACTGAGAATACTGTCCAACATTCTGCTATGTAAACTGTAATGTGTAGAAGCATGTGGGAATTAAAATGACCAAGAAGGTCTTCATTGTTTGGGAAATATCCACAAAAGCAAGTGCACTTATCTCAGATACAACACATGTACCTGGAATGGTTGAATTTTTAAGTTGTATCTTAGAACTGACTAGCTTAGTCAATATTGTATTTTTATTTCCAAATTCATACTAGGATCACTTGATCAGTGAGGTTCTTGGTAAGATATACTTTGATTTATTTTTATAGTATTATACAAATTGACTTCCTTATTTGTTCAGTCTTACTCTCCCTTGTTGAAGTTCTTGCTACTAACATTTGCTCATAAATGCAAAATCTGTTGTAGGGCCATTTGTGTCTTGATTCAGCTCATTGATGATACTCTCTACCACCCACTCAGAATTCCCATCTCTTTAGCAGATGAAAAACATTATAAAGTAACATGTTCTGGAACATTCTTTTGTGAGGACAGTGCAAAATAAATTTTTCTCAGACTTTCATTTTTCTGGCACATAACAAGGAGACTCTTTGGATGCCCCTTTCAACTGCTTCTCTAACTGATTAACCTGCTTTCCATGAGATGAGGTCACTTATTCCCCCAAACCCCCACCAAATAAAAAATGCCAATCCCCAACCTCTATTTTCATGAAGCACTGGAAGGGAGAAATGAAAATGAGCAAACTGGTATTTAGCCATGCAGGCATGGGCAAAAGTTTCTAGACTCCCCCTTTTTCTTCTTCCTTCTCTGTTCAAATACATTTATTAAATACTTTATACAAAAGCACGACTCCGTTAGCCATTGTTCTGGTGATCATTCTTTAGGACACTTATTGTGGACCAATTGCTTTGTTGTGTTCCTTCCATTTTGGTTCTGAGAGAATATGTCGCCTTCTGGTGGCAAGTAGGAATTGCTTCCTGCCAGACCAGCTGCTTGTGAATTGTGCTCCCAGCTTAATTTGACAGACATTGCTTCCCAACATGCTTTCCCCCAGATTTATTTATAATTGGAATTCTCTCTCAACATACTCTTTGAACCTCTGATATTAGAATATCAGCTTTTTATTGTGTCTGCTCTCCTGCCCTTCATTTTCTTCCCATTTTTTTCTCATTTTCCCCTCAATTTAAAAAATCAGAAAGCAGATATAATTTAATTACAATGGGATGCTCTTCCTATTATGGGTGTAATCGTTGAATTAGTACCTTTTCTACATAGTTTATCGAAGTCACCTAATCTACTTGTTATCAAAATAATTCAGAACATCTTCAGGTATTTTCCATCGATTACTCCGATCTTATTAAGTCTAGACTTTTGTCAGAATTCCATACCTAAGTGAAGACTTCTTCTTTGGATAAGATTATCTCCCAAATACATGGACTTTACTGTGGCATTTCTCTTTCATAATTCTCCTTGTAAATTAAAAAATGTGCTAATTGTTCAAACTGTGAAAAAAGCAGTTTTACACATCAGAGAATATTGTATTGGACCACTGCTTCTTAGTCAAATGCATTACAGTTTTACTTCAAACAAAGCAGTTTGGAGCAGTTAAGTGTTTCAGAGATTGCCCCCCAAATTCTTAGTCAGGCACCTCTTCACCTCTTAGTTGTCAGTGCTGAACATGGCCAATAGGCACTTAGCATCAACATTACTATCCTTTTAAAATATATGAGCACTGTGAGCAGTGTACTGGGGACAGACTAGATCTGGCTGCCCTTAAGCAAAACGATATGCATAGACAACTGTTGATTTTCTTTGGGTGACAGAAATAAGTACCTGCTTTAAACTATTAAAGGTTTCTTTGAAAAAAATCAAACCAAAGGCAGGCACCGTGAAACCCACAGGTGCTCTTTTCCAAGGCACCTTTGTCTGTGTGAAATGTGAAGTGAGTCCAATTTGCAGGGTATATGCTTTGGCAGATGGCAGAGAAGCAATGCCCACACAGCCATTGCCCCCAAGAAAAAGTGCTCTTTATGAATACCACCAGGCAGTAGACAGGCTGTCACCAACAGAGTCATTATCATGCCCCAGACAGAGTATCCTGATAACCCTGATTCTAGTGGAGCCAGCCATTTGGTGCCACTTCACGACTGAGTGTCTCCCTCGAGTTTAGAAAAGAACTTAGTTCATATTACCACTGTAAACTTAATACCTGGCTGTATCACCTCACACCAACAGTACCAAATGCAAATGAGAACACTGCATTTTATAAAGAATGTTCCGGGAGAGACTGTCAATGTGCTTTAAAAATGAGCACTATCCTTTTGGGGGGTAAACAAAGGCATAAAGAGGTTGGACTACAGTGTCTCTTTGTCAACAAACTAACTTATTGAAAGTAACAAAATAAATAAATACAGACTTTGCAGTGACACAGTGACAAGTGAGAGATATACTTACAAAACTGCTGAGAGAGAGAGAGAGAGAAAGAGAGAGAGAGAGAAAAGAGAGAGAGAAAAGAGAGAGAGAGAAAAGAGAGAGAGAGAAAGAGAGA